AAGGGCGTTTTTGAATATGTATATATGTAGTTCGTGGCGTATTATCTGAGACTGGGATCTGGGCCACCTAAGGGGTTTGACGATTTTTGCGAGGGATAGGTTTGTTTTGCTGGTTGTTTTGGACCCCAGGGAGGTAGACTAGGTTCCTACGAGCAGAACGAGGCCTGGGGCTTGGCATTCTGTCAAGGTTTGAGGTCATGGGAAGAAATTTGCCGAGACAGGTCCAAAATTGGCTCAAACGGGCTAGTGGGCCAGACGTGGGAAGCGCCCTGCCTGTGGCGCGTAGAGGCAGCGGCGCAGCTGCAACTTGAAGTAGGGACACTGAGAGGGCTGGGGAGTCCCAATGTACACATTATTACCCCTCATCCCAGCCAAACTCAAGCCCGAATGCGGTTGGAACGAACTGGCTGTCCCACGTATCCCACAGGAGATTTTCAAGTCTACGCCTCTCGAATTGTGTCCGATATCGACCAGGGGGATATAGATGGTGTATTAGAACAATGTAGGACATGTTTGAGCTACAAATGAGACAGTATGTGGGTGGTAGGAAAAGTCGGCTCTGAGCGGGTCCGACAGCGAGCTCCCATCCAGCACGGAAACAGACGGGGAGAACGGAGTAAGTTCATGGATGCAAGTTCAGTATCATAGGAACGCACCTGGCTCACTATCTCCACCACCGAGGTCCTGTATTCCTCGTAAAAAGTTCCAAATGCCGCCATAGTGAAAATCGGGGGTTTGCGGAAGATGACGGCGATGACAAGATATGAGGACAGTTCAGATGAGGCGAAAGTGGCCAAATATGAGCTTTACATGTGCCAAGTGGGTGTGCAAAGACCTGGGAGCAAAGCACCAGCACGTCGTCCGATGCAAGGGTGGCAAGCGGACGCCCATGTCGACACGCAAGCCCCGAGTAAGTCGGTCTGGCGACATGGAGCGGGTAAATCGGGGGGTAGGAAGAGTGGTAGTGGGTAGCCAGGGGTCCGCCGAGCATAATGAGCCCTGCAGATCGCGAAACGGCGCCGTGGTCGTGGAGAAAGAGGCTGTCGAGTGAAGCCAAATTAAGAAATCACGTTTTTTGCTCACACGCACCTCAGTCTGACAGCCACAGCCTCACGTCAACATCACCGATCTCCACCAAAATCGGTGTGCGAGGACGTCTGTGTATGTCCTTCATGATACCAACAACATTTGGGAAGTAGGTGATATCGACACAGTGCTAATTCCCTAGTGGCCCACTAGCTAGTGTGGCCCACTAGGTAGTCGCTGATAATAGTAGATCTAGTAGTAGAAAGAATGTGATTATCTCTCTAGATCTGTTTTGTTCAAGCTGAGATTGGTACGAGTCGGAGGTGGTATTTTCAGTTTTATCCACCAATTCAGTGGAGCAGTAGAAAAATGAGAATATATTGCAGATTCTATGCACCGGAACCTCGAATCGAACGAGGCATTTCTGTCGCTGGCATTCAACCGCCGCGCGGCACATCGGTAGCCGCAGGTTCTGTGGACATTGCAATTACCAATGTCTTACCCACTGTCCCGGTGAAATCATCTTCGTCCCTCTCACTCACCAACCGTCGCGGCGTCGCCGCCGCCGCGGAAAGGTAAAATCTTGAGGTTTTGAATCTCTAGTTGGTGGACCGTGGAAATAGTAGGAGGAATTGGATCGTGTTTTGTTTTGGTTGACAAATATTGGCGTGCTGGGAAACGGAGTACAAAATGAAAAAAGAGCTCCTAACACAACATATCGGAACGTCGAATCGAACGAGGGATTCCGTCGTTTGGCATCGGGAACTTGTTTATCACCGGTGGTCCGGTAACGCTGCTCTTGCCAGTGGGCATGTCTGGGACATGGCACTTGTAAGTTACTCGTGGCACACAGTAAAGATTATAAGTAGGAAGGAGAGAGTTGGCCCGGGAAAAAAAGGCCAAAGCAACAAGGTAGCATTGGAACCCAAATCGAACGGGTCGCGGCAATTGTCGGCGGTGTCAGCGTGATTTGAACAAGGGACGCTCCGATGAGTGTGCCCGCTTGTAAGATCCCCTCAGTTCGGTCTACCAGCGCCGATGAGGAGACTATTAATTAGCGGTGGTCCGGCGACTCCGGCCATTCAGGTAATCGGCCGTTGGGCGCGCTGGGTTCGAACGACTTGGTAGGGCTCGATGCGCCCGGTCAAATCAGTGGCCACGGCACAAAGAAACGCACGATTACTCGACAATGGACCATGGTACCGAACCCCGAATCGAACGGGTTGGGGCCAAATACAAACTCGCAAGCGACCGTTTGTAGTTAGAAGCAGACCTCGGTTCGATACGCTCAATCTCCGCGTTATCCTGTGGTTTGTGCGGGCTGACATTGGGTTGAGTCGGAGGGGTTATTGAGCCAAGTGTATTGAGCCAAGTGCTCTTGGTCAGAGAATCAGAGATGGAGCACAAAAAATGACAGGTCATCACAGTCCTGTCGGAACCTCGAATCGAACAAGGCATTCCGTCGTTGGCAAAGTTCATTGCCATCCGGGACTTATCCATCACCTCTGCTCATCTTCGGCGGACGCTGAATCACTCAGCGAGCGTCGTGGAAAAGGATGGTGAAATTGGCGGCATGCAGAAACGACGCACAGAATAAAGATTATTCAACAGGAGTTGGCTGAGAAAAAATATGCTCTCCCTCACGTGCGCACACACCAGAACCCGAATCGAACGGGTTACGGTGATTGTATTTGACAATGGACGCTTGTGCGTTGGCAATGATAAATAGCTGTCGGGTCAGCTCACCCGACTCTTGTCTTACTTGCATGTCTCCCAACCCTACCTCGCCGGGGCCAGGTTCGGTTTTCACCCCAACATCAAATACCCTCGAATATGCTAGCTGGGCCCTATAAATGCTTTGCTGAGGGAACAAGGTCGAAGGGGTATCTTCACTCGACCCGCCGGGGTTCAATTCCCTCCCAAAGCATGAACCTCCTCGAAATAGGTACTTTTTTGTTTCTTGTGGCGCTCGAGGCTAATTTGCCACCTCACTCCCTCTGTGCAAGCAATCCCATGCGACCGCAATCTTCGAGCGCCTGAACCTTGCCTCTAGCGGGTCCCTGATTCCGGAAGTGCGGCTCCGCACCTCCCGTTGAATGATGGCGAGGTTGCCAAAGCGATGGACCCGTTTGACCCGTAAAATTGTTCGTTTTTCTCAATACAATACCTAGCGAGTAGCAGTGCACCTACTATCAGCCCGCCCGCCCGAGCAAATCAGCGATGGAGTACAAAATTGGCACTGTACGGGTCCTATTCATCCCTGCTGCGATTGTGAGCGGTCTCGCCGCGTTATCTGGACATGTACACTGTACAGGGCATGCACGGTGTTACGCTAGCGTTTGCTGAGGTCAGTCCCCCAGAACCTGAGCTGAGCAGCCTTTTAGTTCATTGGGCTCTCGAGTCTCATTTCTTACTGGTAAAAATACCCCTCTTCCAGTTCGAGTGCCTGCATCTCCGTCTCACACGGTTGCGAAGAAAGCTGGATCCGCTCGAATCGTAAAACTGTTCATTTTTGTTTTCACACTGCTTACCGAGTAGCACGTGAGGCCTATCCGTCGGAGCAAATCAGCGACGGAAGATGAGGTATAAAAAAGACAAGTTGTCCTACATGTGCTATCCGGGAGTCAATCATCCCTCCTGCTTTTCAGCATTTTGGACATGGCACTTGAAACTTGCAAGTTACTCATCGCACAGAATTAAGATTATAAAAAGAAGACAAGTCGGCTCAGAAAAAAAGACTGTACCAACTCAGTATCGAAACCCGAATCGAACGAGTTGCGATTGTGACATTGTCCAATGTCAGCGGTGTCACCGCATCAATTATCTAGATATGTACAAGGGATGCACGGTATCACCAGCGTTTGCTCAATGCTGAGGTCAGTCCACCAGAACCCAAGGGTATCCGGCGGCAAGACTCTTGGTTGGTAGGTACCCAGGCCTCTGGCCGAACTGACGCCGTCAGCTGACGTAGCTGGCGCACGTGTCCCCCCCAATGACATTGCCTTAAAAGGCGATTCTGCTCGCTTAACTGCCGGGGTGCCGTCATGATCGCTACGGTGACAGCTAACTCAATTGCCGCTCTGGCTCAGCGGTAGTAATCAAGATTGTTGAATTTCCCTAACAGCTATCACTATTTGGGTTCACTCCTTTTTGGTGCCATTTCTTTTTTCTTTTTTGTTGAAGAACTCGGATCCTGCCGTGAATTGGTGGTTAGACGCAGGTTAGGTTAGGATAGGTTAGGACTGTGTGTGTATTGTATGCCCCTGTTCCCCCCACACGGCCTCGGCTGTGAATGAAGAACTCAGAATCCACAGTGAATGGGCAGTTAGGATCAGTATCAGCAGTGAGTGGGCAGTTAGAAACAGTGTCAGCAGTGAATTCCTGTCAGGTTAGGTTGGGTGGCTTCAGTTGCAAAAGTTCGGATTAAAAAATGTTGCTGCAGTCAGGGTTGAACACGCAACCTTTGATTAAGGAATGGAAAAGTCACGTGTTTTGTCATTGGGGGGGGGACAGCAGAGGGGTTTGGCTGACGTTGACCGTGGGTTCGATTCACGCGGCAACATTTGTGGGTCCTTGGGTCTTGCTTCCATATTTTTTCTTGACGCAGATCTATCTACAGTCTGATTCTAGACATCCATCTGTCCACTGAGTTTATCAGGCGGCTCTTGAGTGGTGCCCATGCCATACCACCATCCGAACCGTCACGCACGCATTGACCGCGGGTTCGATTCCCGCGCCAACATATGTGGGTCTTGACTCTTTTATATTTTTGTTGACGTGGATTTCACTGGGCCTGCACTTCCGGGCATTGAGGCAATCGTGAATATTAATGTGGCGTCGCTGTGCTAACCGGCCGACGCGCCCATTGGCCAAAAAGAGAAACCAAACCGGGTCTTGGCCTAATCTTATATCTTCGATTAGATCCAATTCACGTCTCCACCATCGAGAAACCCACTCGGCACCCCTGTGCTATCGCTTTGGTGGGGTAGTGGTAACCTGGGTCGTTGCCATTAGGTTGCATAAGTGTCGATTCATTCGACCCGCCGGGGGTTCGATTCCCTCCCAAAGCATAGTCGGGATTGCTTCCGTTTTTTGTTCGTTTTGCGGCTCTCGAGTCTCATTTCCCAGATTTACTCGACAAACTGGATCCGGAAGTGCGGTCCCAAACTCTAAACTCCCGAGTCCCGACTCCTCTCATTCAGTCTGTTTGACACGGTCGCGAAGGCCCTGGATCCGTTCCAACCGTAAAACTGTGCGTTCTCAATCCACCGCCTCCTGGCGCGTACTAGCGCGTACCTACCAGCCTGCCCGTTTGAATGCCGTGCTGCTGCATGGAGACAACCGGAGAGCACCATCCCGGTCCCGAATTCGGATCTCATCTCTGTTAGCATTCAATTGCGGGGTTCGACTGATTGTCTCGAATCGAATCAACGGTGTCTGCATGTCAACCCATGTCAACTGCAAAAGAAAATACTGTTACAACAGAAAAGTACTATCATACATTACAGCGGTAGGCAATAAATAAAATAAGTATGTAGTGTCATGATCAGTAGTGATGTTATGTACGTGGTTAAAGTAAACTGGACTGAATGAGTGAGGTAGAGTAATGCAATGTAATGCGGTTAAAAAGTAAAGATTCTCTCTCCAAGTCAAGGTCAAAGCAACGCACTAATCAGGAGAGAAATCACAAAGGCGGACGCGCACCCTTGGGTCGCATACCCACTGGAGTCTGAATAAGACTCGGCCCCCGCGGACGCGTGCGTGTCCTGCTACCAATTCCCGTTCCAACACCAGCGCCAGTGCCAGTGCCAGTGCCAGCCCCAATCTCCCCGGCACTCGCACTCGCACTCGAAACCACCGGCGTCGCAGGCTCGGGAGTAGGCATCACAGCAGGCGCGAGCACCGTCAAAATCGAGATAGCCTCAGACCTAGGCCTGAACACCACAGGCGAGATGACCGTCGATACTGGAGACGCCTCTGTCTGCGTCGGTGTAGCGCTTCCTTCCTCCTCCCCCTCCTCCTCGTCCTCGTCCACGCGCACCCCAGTACTCTCCGACGGCACGCTCGAAAGGGGCGCAAACGCGAGAGAACCCCCGGCACTTCCCCGTCTGATGTCCGTGTTGAGTTTCTGGAGCTGGGAGGAGAGGTAGACTGCTCGTCGTGAGGAGCCGGGTGTTGGTGTTGGCGGTGGTAGTTGTGAGGGCGGGGATGGTGGAGGGAGTGGAGGGAGGGGAGGAGAAGTTCTGCGTGTAGTGTAGGTGGAAGGATGCACGTAGGGGTCGAGGTGTGGATTCGGGAGAGTGTGTTCCGAGGGAGGGATGCTGGAAAGAGGACTGAACGTGACTGACACGTCTTCCTCCTCAGTGGAAATCGCGAGCTGCTGCAATTGTGCCTCGAGGTACGCTTTCCGGCGCGAGGGTCCTAAAGCAGGAGCATGAGGCAACGTGCCCGTGTTCAACCCTGGAGGCGTAGGCTGCGATGAAAGGAGCGCAGAAAGCTCCGGCTCATCGTCGTCCAAATCGACGCTAAACGGCGAAATCTTCATCGCAAGCTTGTTCTCCTCGTCCTCCTCCGCCTGCTTCGCACTCTCAGGCCCACCAAATGGATACACGCCTCTTCCCCGCCCGTTGGCCACGGCCCTCCGGCGTCGGTAGACGTAGAGCGAGATGGACCCGAAAACGATGAAAGCCACTAGGGCCGCGGGCGAGGGTGCCGACGATAACACCCAGGAGCGCTGAGGTGGAGACGGCTGACGTCTTGCACGTGCCGCATGTGTCATTGGAATTTGGCAGAGGTGCCGTTGTTGCTGGATGGTTCTGGCGATATCGACGTGGATGTCGACACAGCGGAAGAGGATGATGTCGGAAACACCGCGGAACTCGTTACGAGGAGGTCCACCGCGTCGGTAGAGCCCAACGAGAGAGAATAAGGAGCGAGTGGCATTCTCCTGAGATTGATTTTGGACCGCTAGCTCGCGTTCTGCTGGCAGCGCCAGGCAGTCAAAGCCTCGAGCCAACCTCGGGCTCGGGAAACGGGGAGTTTTTGCAAGGCGTGACGGTTTGGAGGGAAGGCGGAGGATCCACTTTCAACTCCCTCAGTCATGGTAATGGCAAGGTAATGGTAAGAGGCATTGAGACGAACTGGGTGCCAGTGGCACATCACGAAAAGTGTCGTTCGCTGGAAAGCCGCTGGGCAGCGCCTGTCAAGTGTCTCCAGGCGTTTAAAGTCCCTTCCTGGCAGGAGACACGCTGGGAAGGCCTGTAAACGGACGGTCCACTTGCAAAGTCCTTTACAGTCTAGTCCTGGCTAGATGTCCCTGTAGAGGACTTTAGACACTTTAAAGGCAGTTTCCAGGCTGCTTCCCCATTCCCAGCTCCTCCCAGTACCTCAGACCAATCCCGATAAATTATAATAAAGAATAAAAAATTGAATTCAAGTCGACGACAACATGAGAGTACAGAGGAGCGAGGATACTTACAGTCAGTAAAGCACATCGAGAGCAGCGCTAGAAAGAACTCGTTCGTCAGTCAGGGAAGATTCCATGGATGGGGGACTCACCGAGAAGATGCAATACAACAAGTAGAAGGAAAGCTGAGCAGAGATGAGATGAGATGAGTGCGGCCCGTGCAATGAAGATAGCCACACACCTTGATGTTGTTTGTAGTGCGCTGGAGCAGTAGTGGATCGTGGATCAGTAACAGCGGAGGCAATATGCGAAATTGCTTACAGACGATCCGCGCATGATTATCTAGAATCTGGGTAGGTCCGGTGTGAGATTTGATCAGAGTGAGCCGCACAAAGACGAAAGAGGACTCTGGATATAAACGTAAGCGAGTCGTGTGCCGCGAGGAACTGGGGCTACTCGCATTCAGAATTCCGCAGTGAAGACGAATGGACAGCTAAATTCAACTCAGCATTGTGCCGCAGTGAGAAGACAAGAGAAGACATACCAATACGTGTCTCGTTGCGCCGTAATGAGAAAATAAGACATACCAGTATGCGTCTGGACAAGAAAAGAGTCTGGATAGCTGGAGTATGAGCACATCTGCCGAAACAACTTGAAGGACATACGACGAGAGTTGGAGGATCCGAGCCTGTAATTATGGTTAAAACGCGTCGTCGCCAAAATGAGCGTGGCGGGTACTTACAGGCATGATAAGGTGAGCAGAAATTATCTACGAAGGGATCGGTCAGAATGGGATACGAGTCTGGCGGCTCGAGACTTACATGTCAGGCATTGATAGTTAATTCGTGACTGGCAAGCATGTCAGACATCGCAGAAATGCACCAATGAATACGCACGTGGGATTAAAAGCTGAGATGCAGGATGAGTGCAAGAGGAAAGCCGGGAAGCGTGATCTGAAACGAATTAGATACTGTGTAAGGATGAGCGAGTAACAAACCGTTCAATTGAGATCCTCCACCGAAGGACTCGAAGCACCCAGAGGACGATCGGTACTGGGACTAGACCCTTCTTCTCGTCAAGCTCGTTCACGCCGACGTAGCCTGATTCCTCCGACGGGATAGACACACGATAGATACCCTCCGCGTTGTAGTTGTGGATTTGGTTGAGATCTTTCAGCGCCCTAGAGAGTTGCTTGAGTGGGTATATGCGCATATAGTGTGAGGAAACGCACTTTTCCGTCGCCGCCGTAGGTCTTTTCTCCTCACCCGGCCATCCGGTGTATCCTCCGCACCCGGCGCATCCTCCGCTGCGTTAATTTGCTGTTGCGGGGCTAAGACGATAACACGTCACGAAGCATCGGGTGGAGGTAGCTGGGTCTTGTCACGCACGAACGGCTTGAGGGCGATGTCGACGTCGGACGGCGGAAAGTATTCGCTGATCTGGGGCTTGAGGTCGTTCGCCATCTGCACGAAGTGAGCACAAGAATTGAGCGAAAAAAAAAACGCACCCGGTGGAGCAGCGGCTCCCAATGCGGCGCCTATTTGAAATTTCCCATCACCGCCTCCACCTCTTGAACACAAGGAACGCGTCCAACGCGTCCGACAGCTTCTTGGATTCTGTCGTCGCTCTGTGACGGTGGTAAGTGAAAGCGTGAGTGTGAATGATGAGAGTACGTGCTTGAAGCGTTCTAACACTCTGGCGCGCACCCAAGAAACGGATTTAGGTGGAGGGAGCCATCTGCCGCGGACGATGAGGACGCGTCGGCCCAGGGTCAAGTTCCAGTTCCGGATGGTTTGTTGAAGGATCAGATCCTTTTGAAGGAGTGTGAGGCGCAGGCTGGGAGGCGGCGGTGGGAGTGGAGGACATGAGGGAAGAGAGAGAGAGGGAGGGACGCGTCATCAATTTGATCACCCGATTTATTTATAACTCACGGCATTCGAGATTTTTTTTGCTCAGCTTCAGGTCCATGTGAGGACCAGTCGAGTACGATAAAATCCTTTTGATTCCATGGGAGTTAAAACAACAAGTCAGCATGCAAGGAATCGACTCCAAAGATAAATAAATCAGCCGCCGAGTCCAGTCCTTTTTCGGCCAATCGCGGGCGAAGCCAAGGGATGAAAGATAGGGAAGACTTGCAGTTTCCATTAAAGCACGAAAGACGCGTACAAAGACACAAAAACGCGTGGAAAGACGCGCTACAAGTCCCCAAAACCAACCTGTCCGCCTATACCTTCCTCGTCATCCTCGAGCTGAAAACAGAGCTCCTCCTTCTCCTCTTTGGACTCGTTCTCTTCGGAATTAAGGTCAGAAGGGAGTGATGTCTCCTCGACCTCATCGTCAGCACCGGTTTTGTGGCGGCGTGGCAACGGTTGAAAGTTGAGGTGGCCCGGGTTGCTTAACCCGGCTTTAGAGCCGAAAGGCAAAAGGTGCAGTCGGGGAAGTGTGGGGTAGTGGATTATACAGAGTCGCGAGGGAGGGAAGTGAGAACGAGTCTGAGTGTCGAACTTTGAAAGGATCATCGGCGGCCGCGGCGGCTGACTTGGTTGGCAAAATGTGGCCCGAGATCCAGGCAGGAGGTAGGAATAAGATTATATTTACAGTGGCAGGAAAGTCGAAATACGGCCAGGAACAGACTGGAGAGTTGGACGACAGCCTGTGGACGAC